GCCACATAACGCCAAGTTCCATTTCTCCGTGTTTCAACCTTGATTCCATTCCATAGTGTCGGTCGGATTCACCCAATGTCAGGGCTGGATCGATAGTGTGGGCCACCATATGTCAAGGGATAACTTTACGAGTATCGCAAAAGTCTAATGAAGATGTCCGGCATTGCGGAATGAGTGAGCCAGCCTACTTACCCCAAAAATTCGAAGAGGTCAAAGGTGCCCGATCAGTGATATTGTTGTTGTCGTTGTTCATTAGTTTGTGGGGCCCCGCCTGGCATCGACTCTTAATCGATGCACCCCAGGCCTAGAACCATCCCCCTAGACGAACACCGTAAGGGTCTTGACGCTGATCCACAACTTGCCACGCGAAGGCCACGCTCTGCAGATACCATGACATGAATATGCCTTGCAGTTGTGTGTACAGCACGACACCAATCATACCAGCCTCTCTCACACCAATTCTACAAAAGGGGCCCTTGCAGTCTGTAATTGGCCAATGCTGATCTCGACTCAAAAACATGGTCCTTGTCACAGACATGGTGTTAATATTAGTATTTCGCAGGGGCAATGATCTCCCTTGAGATACCAATCCCTCATGATTAAGTCGGAAATTGAATCTTATTACCTTTGAGAAGTTTGTTGCGTTGCGACGAGAGCCCGAGTGATCAGAAACCCTGGGGCTTGTTGATATACCATTCACGACCAGAGTTACCGGAGAACTGAGCATAATTTCAAACGTTTTCGTCATGGAGACAGTTCGACCATCTTTCCTGTGCTATGCTCGCCTGCGATAAGGTGGATCCATGGTTGCCCTGTCCTCATGCATCATGTCAGCGACCGTGACTCGATTGGTTATTCAGCAGCCGCGACATACGTATCATTCATTTGAAACCATTTGAGTCTGGCTTGACTCCACGAGGTCATTGGAGCCAGCTTAGATGGTATCACACCATAACATAGATCTGTTTCCTAGCCAATGCGCCTTGTACAGGTTTCTTTCTCGACCTCTTGACTTGCTAGAGTTCAAGGTTTAGGAGAAGATGCATTTGCCAGCGCATGTCGTTCAATGCGGTGCTTGAAATGCCCCTCATTCGCAGAATGCCCCATTTATTGGGCCATTTCCCCACGATGCACTTCCCGGGTCCTGACGCGCACAGGCAAAGCTAATCTCGAATAAATCGGAATCCTCAAGTCAGGTGTCGGGAAGGGAAGATGAATAATATGCATCACTTTGCCAAGCGGTGCGGGGAAACTAGTCGTGATGCCGCGGATCGTCATGAATGATTTCTTAACAATGGAGCTCTCATACCTTGGCGCGGTTCCATGTTCCCCATCGTTGTCTCTCATGAGTGATGATCTTTCCTGGTCCGGCTCATCTCAAGGCTCATGCTCTCGATCACCAAGTGGGTCATGGGTGATTGAATATGACGATCACCCCGACAGCCTTTTGTTGCACACGATAAACGCCGTCGAAACAGCACCTCTCACCGCCGCAATTTCCCAAAAAGGAGAATCGTCGTAAAGCTGATAGCATAATCAGTGCCGATGCAGTAGGACAAGCGGGTCAGGCTTTGTCTTCTCTTGTCGATCGTATCTAGCGCCCTGACTCGCTAGTGAAGCAGTGTCTTGCGCCAGCTGTTTATAAACCAGGACACCCAGCAGTGCGGGGTTGCCATTGTTCATTGAGATTAAGCTGCGCCAGCTGAAATTTGCTTGTTCTGTACTGACCTGCTTGGAGACTTACAACGATCAGCTTTTGATTTCGTATCAGATATTGCCGATGAACCACACGTGGGAGTTCGTCGTAGTCGGTGGTGAGTGCCATGGGGATCGTCATTTGCTCGACCGACTGACTGGAAGCAGGGGGTCCGGCGGGCTGTGCCCTTGCTTCGACGCTCGCTCGCTCCGCTAAACACCCACGAGTCCTACTGCTGGAGGCCGGCCCTCGGAATGAGGATCTTTCTCTTCGCGTGGATGGTCAGCGATGGTCGACGTTCCTCCAAGGAGATATGAACTGGGGGTACAAGACCACGCCCCAGGAATATTGCAACGAACGACAGATTGATTACTCACGCGGCAAGGTGCTCGGGGGCAGCAGTGCAATCAACTTTGGCGTCTATACAGTGGGCGCCCGTGATGATTACGATCAGTGGGCCGCGCTCGTCGGTGACGAGACCTATGGCTGGGAGCGGATGAGGAGGAGATTTCACGGCCTTGAGACCTTTGACGGCGCTATTGTTGACCCGAAAAATGCCAAATATGCGTCTCCCCAAGCCTTGAATCACGGATCTGCTGGTGCTTTGCGCGTAGGCTTTGCTCGTGAATGGGAGCAGGATCTCCCGCTCATGCTGGACGTGTTCGAGCAGGCGGGCCTGGCTCGAAACCCGGATCACAACTCGGGCGACCCGATCGGCATGGGCCTCATCATCAACTCGTCCTACAAGGGTCGAAGAGTGACCGCGACAGATCTTCTCGAGGGGGTACCGGACAACTTGACGATCATCACCGAAGCGCCCGTGCAGCGGGTCATCTTGGAGGGGACCAAGGCTGTAGGTGTAGAGTCAAACGGAAGACAGTGTATGCTTAGGTTATTGCAGGAAGTCCACCAGTGCCCAGCTAACGCGCCTTTGCAGATCTGGCCTCCCGCGAAGTGATTCTCACCGCAGGCTCATTGGACACGCCGCGCATCCTCATGCATTCGGGTCTCGGGCCTGCCGACCAACTTGAACAATTCCAGATACCCGTCCGTAAGGATATCCCTGCCCTGGGCAAGGGCCTGCGGGATCATTTCTTTGCCCCGCTGTGCTTCAAACGCGACCCCGCGACCAATGACCGCAATGCGTTCTTCGGCGATCAAGCCGCCATGAAAACCGCCATGGCGCAATGGAACAAGGACGGCACGGGACCGTGGGCGCGGCATTCGTGCCAGATCGCCGCCGGCTGGCTCAAATCCGACCGGCTGGTGCGAACGGCAGAGTTCCAGGCTCTTCCCACCGACGTGCAAGACTTCCTGCAACGCCCGACGGTCCCGCACTACGAGTTCCTCACGCATTTCCCTCTGCATCTCGTGGCGCCGGAATGGCCGCCGGATTACAGCTACATCTGCATGTTGGTGTTCCTGATGAACGAGCAATCCAGCGGCGAAGTGCGACTGCAGTCCTCGGACCCCAACGCTCCGTTGTTGTTCGATCCGAAATTCCTCTCTCATGACTTCGACCGCCGCGCCTGCATCGAGATCTTCCGCCATGCGCTGGAGGTGACCCGCCACCCATCCTTTCAGAAGGACGTGGTCGAGACGGTGATCGCGCCGGCGTCGGACTCGGACGCGGATATCCTGGAGCACTGGAAGAACACGCTGGGGTCGAGCTGGCACATGACGGGGACGGCCAAGATGGGCCGCCCGGGGGAGAGTGATGCCGTGGTGGACAGCCACTTCCGGATGATGGGGGTGGAGAACCTGCGCATCGCGGACATGAGCGTGGTGCCGGTGTTGACGAACAACCACACGCAGGCGACCGCGTACGTGACGGGCGCCACGTGCGGAGAAGTCTTGGTAGAGGAGTATGACTTCGACCGGGAGGTGGCACGGCTGTAGCCTTAGGTATAGTAGCGTTATAGTGCTCAGCTAGCAGTATTTTGCAATTAATGTACAATCCCATACTATTGACCATCAAACACAATACATGACAACATTCGATCGACGAATTCCAACAAGAGCCTTTTTAAGAAAGACAGTGGTACGATCCAATCCTCGGAATCTATCTGGAATTCTAAGCCCGGACCTGACTCTGGATATAAATGATCACAGTGGAAAGAGGGTCGACGGTGTAATAAGCTATAGTACTGGGAGTCAACCAGCTTGAATTTAGTCAAGAACACGTCGCACATTATAATCAAACTAGCAACCCGTATTACAAGGATCATATATCATTCAATTTATCTTTGGATGATATATAATTGTTTCCAAGCTGGTTGCTAATAGTTCCAACATAGGGCTGCATGTAATAACCCACATCAACCAGAGATAGAAAAAGTTCCGAACAGCTGTATCTGGTTTGCCAGAAGTCCTGAACCAATATCCCACCAGTTGAGAACTAGTGTAGCTCTTTGAAAAGGCTATATTCATAATAAACTATTCGTTCTACTGAATCTACACCAGATATCAATATAGGCCTAATAGAGATACAAATGCTGGGTTTCTGAATAGACTGGTCCTATAAGCTCAAAAGGCCATCATTGACAAAAGTCCACTTCTGAGCTCTATGTTTATATTGATTGAATACAACGTGCCAGGGCTATGTCCAGGCTAGAAGACATGATTTCAGAGGGCTCAATTATTGGGAAGCGATCTACGATTCCCGGAGGACTTGAATTGTCAGCGAGGGTCAGTTTCTCGGCCTCCCAGCACCGAGCCTGCAGATTTGGTGTGTTGTGACTCGCCAGGCCGTAAGAACTGCGTGATGGAACCTATTCTGAGCTGCATGGACTGATTGCGAATCTCGGGGAAAGAGCCTAGCAACTACCAACTGCCTAGGGTTAGAGGGCTTCCGGGAATCTGATCCTCGCGACTCAGTGGAGTCTAGTGCCGGAACTGACCGCAGGGAATCTGTCTCATTGCGCCTGGAAATGAGCTCCCTGCCTATTGTGCGCGGACCAGACTCTGCTAGCGCTTACTCCATTACGAGCTATATCCGCGGATCGACGGCACGTGGCAAGGCTTGTTCGTCAGGTCAGCTTAAGCGAAAGCTTCAAGATTATAGTGTTCGCGGAGCTGACTCCGTTTGCCTTCGATGCCATCGGGGCACACCAATTGCCCTCCATGATCCCTGTAGTCGCCCGGGAGCAAGAGGCGTTGCATGAAGCATGGGTCACGGTGCTGCAACTGCCGCACGGGGAGTTTGGTCTGGAGGCGAGCGTTTTGGGCCTGGGAGGCGATTCGATCGCGGCCATCAATCTGGTCAGCTGGCTGCGACAGGAAAGATACAGCCTTGCGGTGCGCCATGTCCTCCGATTGCCCCCCCGTGCTGGAGTCGATGGCGTCGCAGCTCGTCCGCAGTGGCGATGACCAGGAAGACCAGCAACCAGCAGCCAGCGTCCTCTTCTCCCCTCCTCCCGAAGTTACGGCGGCTGTTGAAGTTGCTATCGAGGCGTATGAGGCAATCTACCCATGTCCTCCGGGGCAATCCGCGTTTCCCGCCCAGGGCGCGGCGACCCGAGTCGTTCTGGTCGCTGATGATCATGCGCTCGTTGGGTCATGATAGCGATCCCCTCCAATGGCTGGCCATGGCCCAGCGTTTACCAGAGACCAACGATATCTTGCGCACCACCTTTCTGGAACCCCACGACCAGTGGTACGGCGTGGTGCTCCCGCACGCCAGTCCGATCGTGAAGTTCTACGACGCCAGTGGCGCGGAGGAGCGGACACACATCCTCGATGCGATCTGGCAGCAGCTGTTCGAGTTCGGCAAGCCCTTCATCCACTCGGGCATGATCCGGATGGCCGACGGGGAGATGCAGGCGGTCATCAAGCTCGACCACGGGCTGTACGACGGCACCCTGCTGCGGGTCTTCGACGCGCACTGCCAGAAGTACCAGCGTGACGAGCCCGTCGACCCGATCACCAGCTGCCAAGACTTCGTCCTGCACATCTGGCAACGCAACCAGACGCAACTGACCCTCGCCTTCTGGCAGCAACCCGACAAACGGCCGATCCGCTTCCAGCTGGCCCCGGGCCGTTCGCAACAAGCCCAGCAAGAACAACTCCGGGTCAGCAGCATCGCCGTTCCCAGGATTGAACACACCCAGCTGGACCACTACAGCCGCGCGCACGGTGTGACCGTCTCCATCCGGGTCCAGATCATCTTCCAGCATGCACAGCACAGCACAGCACAGCACACTACAGCGCAGTACTCAATAAGTTACCCAACAACCCATAATTCAATTCCAACTAAACCAACCTAGATATCCCTACTCGGTAACCCAAACCAGACCGGACCCTCAATAGCCCCAATAAGCACTCCATCCAATCCTTGGACCAGGAAAGTAAGCAAACTAATAGATATACCGAAAATGCAGATTCTCGCGATCAGTGCGATCCTCAAACGCATGCGCCAGGTGATCCCCACCACCCTCCCCGGGGTTCTCCAAACTGACGCCGGCCTCGCGCAGCAGGCGCTCCTTCTTCTTGTTCTGGGCGATCAGGTGGAAGCGCAGGTAGATGACGGCGAGGGTCATGGCCGAGTAGCAGCCGAGGTGGACGCCGAAGGCGATGAAGTAGCGGGGGGCGTCGCGGGCGAGGAAGACTTGGGGGCCTGCCACTTCCGTCAGTATGGGTTCGGGGGGGAGTAGCTTGTACTGTACACTGGTCTTGAGGGAAGAGACGAGAGTATCTTGGGCATCGGTGTTGGAAGGAGAAAAGAAAGGGAAAAGGAGGAGGAGGAGGAGGAGGCAAACTCACCGATGGCGTTCCCCACAGCCCACGAGACGAACGTCGCCGCAACCACGGTGGATTTCTTCGTGGCGCCCGCGATGTTGCGCGAGACCATGGACAAACAAAGATTCTGGGCGGACCAGAAGGAGAGCGTGATGTAGTAGCTGATCAGCAGGCCGACCTTGGTGCTGAGGTTTTTGTTCTCGACGGTCATGAGGACGATGGTGCCGATGAAGGAGCTGTCCACCGCATTTCTAGGGTTAGCATTCGCATTCACCCCAATCCAACCCAACACCCACCCCCCTGCACAACACGCCCCTGGAAAAGTGGTGGGCAGGCAACGTACGGAATGATAAACCCCAACATGACCAAAATATTCTGATTAAACCGCTTCACCAAAAACGCACTGGTCAACAGCACAAAGATGATATAGAAGCCTAGCACCATCGCCAACAGCTGCGTCTGCAGCTCCGTGAAATCGAACCCCGTGATGATGATGTTCGCGAACGCGCCCAATCCGCTCGTCGGCAGGGTCGTGAACACCTGGATCGCGCAGTAGCAGTACATCTGCGGGTCCTGGAAGGCCTCCCACATCTGGTACGCGCGGAAGGTCTTGTTCTGGAGGCCCGTCTGGTTGGCGCGCACGCGCTCGACCATCAGGTGCTTGTCTTCCTCGTTGAAGCACTTGGCCTTCATCGGGGAGTCGGGCATCCACCACAGCACGAAGAAGCCCCAGAGGACGGAGATGCAGCCATACGTGAGGAAGAGGGCTTGCCAGGATTTCAGGGCCGTGGGGCCGTGCCGCCCGATCAGGCTGAAGCAGTATGCCAGCAGGCCGCCGACGATTTGTTGGCCGCCGTTCATCATGTACCTTTTTCGGTAGCTGTTAGCATGGTGATAGGGGGGGGGGGGGGGGATGTGTTGGGGGGTATTTGGAGCAGAAGGGGGGTGGGTTAAGAAGCAGCTGAGGGTTCAGGGTAGGGCTGGGTAAAGCGGGCATACCAATAAGTGACAGTCGCAGCCTGCTCCTCCCGCTTATACCACATACTGGACAGCAGCACAAACGTGGGCTGGCAGGCGGCCTCAAAGATGCCCAGCAGGGTGCGCACGGCCACGAGCCCGGCGAAGTTCTTGCACGCGGCGTGCAGCGCCAGGATGGTGCCCCACAGGATGATATTGACCCCCAAGTACTTGGCGATGCGCACGCGCTGGATGATCCAGTTAGTCGGGTACTCGACAATCAGGACGGCGATGTAGATGCAGGTCGTGAGCCAGGAGTACTGTCAGTCCAAAAGTCAGCATCAGCACCACGATCATCTGGGGCCATTGGGAAGCACCTCCTGCCCCTTCATCCCCGTATCCGTGCGGATCCCCATGATCGACGCAAACGACATGGTCCCCTTGTCCAGCGCCTGCAGGAAATACGTCAGGATCATGACCACCAGCACGCGCCGGTCGATCATGCGCCGCAGCCGCCGGCTGGTCGCCTCGTCGACCTCGACCGCCCCGCGCGCCGCGTACGCCGCGATCTCCTCGTCGACGCGGGCGGCGTCCACCCCCAGCCCTTTCTTTAGGGACCCGTCCCCGGGGGAGAGTACCCGCTCGACGTGGGCGGTGGCATGGGCGGACTTGTCTTCCTCCTGTGGGGAAGGGTGCGACGGGGTGGTGTCGGTGATGTTCTCCGCCATGTTGTGCGGATTGGGTGGGACTCGATATGGTGGGGAGGGGAACGGGGTGCAGGGGGACGCCGGGCTTTTATTTTCTACGGGGTAGGGCAACCACCCACGAGATGATAATGTGACCTTGCCATCTCGTTTATGTTTTGCTTGGCCAATCCTTCGCGGGGGGTGAATTTCACGCCAATGAGAGGGGAAGGGGGTTGTAGGTATGGTGGTGTGAGGCGAATAACTATGTGGCTCATGGATTGATGCATCTCGCTTAGGGTTGATGCAGTGCAGTGCATACGCTGGGGTTCGTCCATATGTCCAGATTACCCCATGGGACAACCAGATACGCGGGGGCGGGTCAAGCCGCTTCCAGTCTGAAAATTAACCGGCGGAAGGGAATTGACCCGAGAACGCGGGGGAAAAAAAGGGAAAAAGTCTTGGACTGGAGCTTCGCTTGGGGGGCAGCTGCACGAGGGCGCCAATCGCTGCTGCTTGCGGAGGAGGGGTTGGACTTGGCTGGGGAGCGTGCTCGGCGTACGCTGACCCGAATATAAACATGACGACGAGTCAGAGGGGGGAGATGGCGGGGAAGACAAACAGAAAGAAGCTGGAGCTTGCCAGCCATAGCGACTTACTAGTACCTCTCTCTGCGCTCAAGTAGCTTCTTCCCTTCCTCCCTCCCTTTCCACCTCCCTTGCTTCCAAACCCAACCCAACCCTAACTTACATCACCACCACCACCACCACCACCACCAAACAACCCACCAAAATGACCCCCCTTGCCCCCCTCGCCCCCCCCGCAATCCGCAGCAAAATCGACCTCCTCATCACCAACCTGATCAACATCCACGACCCCACCGGCGAATTCCTCCTCCACTTGCCGGACGGCCGCATCATCGACACCAAATCCTGGCACGGCTGGGAATGGACACACGGGGTGGGGTTATACGGGATCTGGAAATACTACGAGCTCACGGGGTCGGCCACGCACCTGCAGATCATCAAGGACTGGTTCGCGGCGCGGTTCGCCGAGGGCGGCACGACGAAGAACATCAACACGATGGCCGTGTTTCTGTCGCTGGCGCACCTCTACGAGACCACCCGCGACGTCACCTACCTCCCCTGGCTGGACGCCTGGGCCGAGTGGGCGATGCACGAGCTGCCGCGCACGCGCCACGGCGGCATGCAGCATATCACCTACCTGACGGACAACCACGAGCAGCTGTGGGACGACACGCTGATGATGACCGTCATGCCGCTCGCCAAAATCGGGCGGTTGCTGGGCCGGCCGGCGTATGTGGCGGAGGCGAAGCGGCAGTGTTTGCTGCATGTGCAGTATCTGTTTGATGCGCGGACGGGGTTGTTTTTCCATGGGTGGCAGTTTGCCGCCGCCGCGGACGACGCCCAGGTGGGGCATCATTTCGCGGAGGCGCGCTGGGCCAGAGGGAATAGCTGGATTACGATGGTTATCCCCGAGATCGTGGAGTTGCTGGAGCTCGAGGAAACGGATCCGATCCGCGTGCATTTGCTGGGCGTGCTGGAGGCGCAGTGCGCTGCCCTCCGGCGATTGCAGGCGGCGGACGGGTTCTGGCATACGTTGCTGGATCATCCGGATTCCTACGTCGAGGCTTCGGCGACGGCCGGGTTCGCCTACGGGATGCTCAAGGCCGTGCGGAAGAGGTATCTCGGCAACGAGTACCGCGCCGTGGCGGAGCGGGCGATTCAGGCTGTGGTTGGGGCCGTGGATGCGCAGGGCGAGCTCCAGAACACCAGCTTTGGCACGGGGATGGGCGACAGTCTGCAGTTCTACAAGGAGATCCCCCGCACGGCGATGCCGTATGGGCAGGCGATGGCGATCATGGCGTTGGGGGAGTATCTGCGGGGGATTTCGTATTAGATTGGGATGAGTAGATGCGTGCGAATAGTATAGATGTATAGATTCCACACCGGTCCTGCAGTTGACACCGGTCGTCCATGGTATCTCCGTATCTCCGGCCCCGTTTCGAGTCAAGTAGGGCTACAGCTGACTCTTCAGCCACAACGTCTGCGAATTACACCACCCGACCAACCCATGCACCCCCCACTCCGTGCCCATCCCACTCGCCTTGTGCCCGCCGAACGGCACGTGGGGCGCGACGTCGAAGTGCGAGTTCACCCACACCGAGCCGGCCTGCAGCTGGTCGACGATGCGGCGCGCGCGCCCCAGATCGCGGCTCCAGACCGAGGCGCTCAGCGCGTAGTCGGAGGCGTTGGCGCGGGCGATCACGTCCGCCTCGTCGGACCACTTGAGCAGCGGCAGGATCGGCGCGAAGGGCTCCTCCTGCACGACGCGCGAGGCCTCGGGCGGGTTGTCCACGAGGGTCGGCGGGATGAAGAACCCTTGGTCGAGGTCGGCGGGGACCTCGCCGGCCGCCAGGGTCCGCAGGCCGGCCGCCTGCGTCGCGGCCAGCAGGTCGGTGGCCTTGTCGAACTGCATGCGGTTCTGCACGGGGCCGAAGAAGGTGGCCGGCTGGGTGCCGTCGCCGACGGGGAGGTTGCGCACGAAGGCGACCAGCTTGTCGCGGAACTCGTCGTAGATGCGCTCGTGCACGTACAGCCGCTTGATCGTCATGCAGATCTGCGAGGAGCAGAGGAAGGCGATGATGCCGATCTGGGATCGTCAGTGCTTGGAACTGGGACGGGGACCACCGAACCGGGAACCATACCTTCTGCACCGCAGCATCCACATCCACATCCCCACACACAATCGCGGCATCATTCCCACCCAACTCCAACGTCACCCTCTTCAACCCCCGGGCACACCCCTCCATCACCTTCCGCCCAGTAACACTCGACCCCGTGAAACTGATCTTCAAGATCCCCGGATGCGCCGTCATCCACGGCCCCAACTCCTCCCCGCCACTCAGCACCTGCACGACCCCCGGCGGAAACACCTGCGCGGCCAGCTCCCCCAACTTCAACGCGCAGTACGGCGTAAACGGACTGGGCTTGACAAGGATCGTATTCCCCGTGACCAGGGCGGGCACGATTTTCCCGACCGCCAACAGCACCGGGAAGTTCCAGGGGACGATGGCGCCGCACACGCCGATGGGCACGTAGCGCTGGATGATCTGGCGGTCGGGCGTGTCTTCAATGGTCGTGACCGGCAACTCGAGGGTGGGGATGGTGCGGGTCCAGGTGATGGCCATTTCGACTTCGATCTGGGCCTGGCTGAGAGGTTTCCCTTGTTCTTGGGTGAGCAGGGCGACGAGGGACTGTTTGTGGGTTTCGAGGAGCGTGGCGTAGCGGGTGAGGAGGGCGCGTCGGGTGGTGAGGGGGGTGCGCGACCATGCTGGGAAGGCGGATTGGGCGGCGAGCACGGCGGCGTCGAGGTCGCTTTGGCTGGAGAGGGGGACTTCGGGGTTCGGGAGGCCGGTGGTCGGGTTGGTGCTGTGGCGTGTGGTTGGGGTTGTGGTGCGTTCGTTGTTGATGATGTTAAAAAAAAAAAAAAAAAAAAAAAAAAAAAAAAAAAAAAAAAAAAAAAAAAAAAAAAAAAAAAAAAAAAAAAAAAAAAAAAAAAAAAAAAAAAAAAAAAAAAAAAAGGGGGGGGGGGGTTTACGGTGGTGTCGAGCGCCATTGTGGTGGTTGTAGTACTGTTCAGTACTTGTTTTCTCGTTTCTCAAAATATGGCTGTAGGCAGATGTAAATTGTTGAAAAGTGATTGAGCAGAGCAGGGGAGGAAGAGTCAGACTTTATACCCTGCTCTCTCTCGGTTCAGCACTGCCCACCAGCCGAGCACACTCGTATACGGTACGGAATAAGCCTGGGGAAGGGGGGGGGGGAGCTGAAGACTGAGATGCACGAGAAGCTTACCCATGTTAGACGAAGATTTGCCTTGCGGCTTGAATAGTCGTACAGCTCGGCTGCCGCAAGCGCCAGTCATTGGACAAGATCGGAGGTACGCCTCGCTTTGACTTTACGGATCGGCACATGCGGGGTTACAGTGGTTTGGGGTCAATGGCGGGTCCGCCTGCTTGTGGACTAGCTGTTCTCTATGAGTATCATCCCAGCGTGACTCGAGAAAAACCACCAAACTACACGATCTATAGCCACGCACTCGGCCCTTGGCTTCGTCCCCAAGGTCCATCGGCCAAGACGGCCAAGACCATGGCGGAAACTGAGCAAGAAAACCGCTGTCGGCGGTCTGCCCTGGGTCGGTCTCCTCGTTCTCCAAAAGTCTCCCCAAATCTTCACAACTCCGATAGACCGGCAAGATGAAGGACAAAGACGAGATCGTCATCCAGGCCATTCCGACAACCTCGCGGCAGGACGCCGAAACCGCGCAGGAGTTCCTCGCGGCGGAGCATGCGCTGACCTTCTGGCCCGCGCTGCGACAGCACTGGCCAACCGTGGCGTGGGCATTATTCATGAATTTGGTACGGTCTCGCATGCGGATCCTTTGCAGCGTCGTTTGTTGGCGGTGACAGACTGACCATGGATAGGCGACGATCCTGAAAGGAATTGTACGTCACCCACCGACTGATCTACGAGGGGCGAACTAACCCGACCTCGACTAGGATGGCGGCGTGGTCAAAGGCCTAGTCGGACTGGACGTCTTCAAGCAGAACTACGGCTACGAGCACGAGGGACGCTACATGCTGGCCGCGCACTGGCTGTCGGCCTTCAACTACGCCAACCTGCTGGGGGCCATCGTGGGGGCGCTGTTCGCCGGCCTCGCCTACGATCGCTTCGGGCCGCGCCTCGTGCTCACGGGGTGCTCATGCCTGTCGATCGGCTTCATCTTCGTGCAGTTCTTCAGCCAGACGCCCGCCCAGCTGTTCGCGGGCGAGCTGATCAACGGCTGCGTCATCGCCTTCTACCCCATCTGCGCCTCCGCGTACGTCGGCGAGGTGACCCCGCTGCCGCTGCGCGGGTTCGCAGCGACCATGACCAACCTCGCCTTCTCCATCGGCTCGCTGATCGCCTCGGGTATTCTAAAGGGGACGGCCTCCCTCGCCAGCGACTGGTCCTACCGCATCCCCATCGCCACGCAATGGGCCCTGCCGTGCATCATGCTGGCCCTGGTCCCCTTCTGCCCGGACCCGCCCTACTGGCTGTGCCGGAAGGGCCGCTCTGAGGCCGCCGCCGCGTCGCTGCGCCGCCTCACCGTCCGCGGGGGCGCCGTCGGGCCCCGCCTCGCCCACATTCAAGAGACCCTGCGCCTGGAGGCCGGCTTTCAGCACACGCCCACCCGTCTGGCATGCCTGCACGGCGCCAACCGCCGCCGCCTCCTCATCTGCGTCATGGCCTACAGCATGCAAGCCTTCACGGGCAACGTCTTCTTCATCAACTACGCGGTGCACTTTATGGAGACCGCCGGCCTGAACGCGTCGCACGCCTTCTCAATGAACATCGGGCTGAGCGCGCTCGGCCTGCTGGGCACAGTCCTCTCGTGGCCACTCTTGTCCTACGTCGGCCGCCGTACGATGTATCTCACGGGCTGCTCGGCGCTGGCCCTGACGCAGCTGCTGATCGGAGTGCTGGACGTGATCCCCCGCACCACGGGCACGATCTGGGCGCAGTGCGCGCTCATGCTGGCGTGCACGCTGGTGTACGACGTCAGCCTGGGCCCCTTCTGCTATGTGCTGCTGGCCGAGGTCTCGTCGATGCGGCTGCGCGGCGTCACCATCGGGCTGGCCACCGTCAGCTGCTTCGGGTGGTCGGTTGTCTTCGCCGTGGCTATCCCCTACGCCATGGACGCCGACGAGGGTGACTGGGGCGGCAAGCTGGGGTTCCTGTTCGCGGGGACCAGTCTCGTCTGCGCCGCGATGTGTTTCTGGTGGCTACCCGAGACGCAGGGGCGCACCTTCGAGGAGCTGGACGCGATGTTTGAGCAGGGGGTGCGCAGTCGGCGGTTTCGGCGGTGCGTGGTGGTCATTGGGGAGGAGGGGAGGGGGGCGGTGGTGGCGATGAGGGAGGAGGGCGTCGTGGGGAGCGTCGAGGGGAGCACCGAGGGGAGCACCGAGGCAGGCGTTGGGAGATGGGTTGAGGATGTGCAGTGCACGGAAAAGAACAACAGAGAAGAATTGGTCGGTGCAAGAGCCTAAAGAGGGAAAAGCCGAGGCAGGGAAGAAAGCCGGCGAGGTGATTAATAATCTAGTCCCGTTTAGGAAAGTCTGCGAAATGCGCAAATTTGAGTGCTGACGGCTGACTCAGCCGCCCCTTATGCCGAAATGCAGGCTTGCATCGTCTCGAGTCATGAAGCAGCACTGAAACTCAAATTCAATCCCCAATCGACTTCCCCTCTTTGCTTGGCCCCATTCCTGCTTTACCCTGCGCAGTAGTCATGACTTCATGGCTCTCGCGCACCGTTTTCTCTGGTGGCGTCAGAACGGCCGCATAGCCTCGACCTTCGATCCGAGCGAGCCACTGCCCTGCACTGCATAACTCCGGCCATCCACCCTTCGAGACCACAGGCCTGCCCCATCCGGCCCGGTATGGACACCCTGAAGAAGCAGCTGCCCCGAATTTCCTCCGTCTGGAAACTCTGCCAGCTCCACTCGCCCGCCGTGCCGTGGTTCGCCTCTCCGCCTGCGAATGGTCGTAACGAGGACGGTTGGGCAAATCGCTCCCACCCCCGGGGCCCTCGCTGCATTTGGCAGGTACCTAGGCAAAAGCCAGTCTCTCGAGAAGCTTCTTCGACGCCTTTGGGGGTTAGCTTCGTCAGCAACTGCGATGCTTGATAATCGACCCTGGGGGGCGTGGCCCCACTGGGAGCAGTCGTATAAAGGTGGTTCGGCCGCTGCTGTCACCTCACTGACACAACCTCCTCCCAAACCACACCCACCCATCCATACACCATGTCTGCAAACAAGGCCCTCATCTTCAAGGAAGTCCCCACGGGCTATCCTGTCCCCGGACAGCACATTGGCCTGGAGCCGGTCTCCTACGACGCCAACGCCCCCGCCCCCGAGAACGGCATCTTCGTGCAGTCGCTGTACGCCAGCTTCGACCCCTACATGCGCGGCCGCATGCGCCCGGCCGAGGTCAAGTCGTACTCGCCGGCCATGGCGCTGGGCCAGCCCATCGACAGCGCGGTCATCGGCAAGGTGCTGCGCTCCAACACCTCCGCCTACCAAGAGGGCGACCTGATCCAGGGCTACCTCCCCATCCAGTCGTACATCTCCGTGGGCGCGGAGCGGCTGCCGTACGTCAAGAAGCTGGAGAACCCGCTGGGCATCGAGGACATCCGGGTGTTCATCGGGGCGCTGGGCATGCCGGGCTTGACGGCGTACTCGTCGCTGTACGAGATCGGGCAGCCCAAGAAGGGGGAGACGATCTTCGTGTCGGCGGCCAGTGGCGCCGTGGGCCAGCTGGTCGGCCAGCTGGCCAAGCACGAGGGCCTGACGGTCATCGGCAGCGTGGGCTCCGACGAGAAGCTCGAGTACATCACCAAGGAGCTGGGCTTCCACGGCGGGTTCAACTACAAGAAGGAGAAGCCGGCGGACGCGCTCAAGCGTCTGGCGCCCAACGGCATCGACATCTACTACGAGAACGTCGGCGGCGAGCACCTCGAGGCCGCCCTGGAGGCGATCAACAACTTTGGCCGGGTGGTCGTCTGCGGCATGATCTCCGTGTACAACGGCACCCCCTACCCGATTAGCAACATCTCGTACGTGCTGACCAAGCGGCTGACCATGCGGGGATTCATTGTGAACGACCCCGGCATGGGCGACAAGTACACCAAGGAGCACCAGGAGAAGGTGCAGCAGTGGATCAAGGAGGGGTCGTTCAAGGCGCTGACGCACGAGACGGTGGGGATTGAGAACGCGGCCGACGGCCTGGTGGGGATCTTCTATGGCAAGAACAAGGGCAAGGCTGTGTTGAAGTTTTAATCTGTTACCTCTCACCATACTATACCATACCATTATTGAACATAGACACGAATGAATCAAACCTTAATATTCATCTCTTTTCCATCTTGCCAAAACCCTGCAATCCACACACATCCAATCTATCCCAACCCTCAAGACACCATCCCAAGCCAAAGCAAAGCAGCCAAACTAAATCTTCTCCCGATGCCTCGTCTCCCCCTCCCCCTCCCCCACTGCCTCCCCCTTCTTCCCCCGCCCAACCTCCCCCTGGACGTTATCCTTCCGACAAAAAACCTTCGTCTTCCCCCAAACCACCCCCACCACATACACCACAAAAACAACACCCGCCACCACCGAATAAACCACCACCGCCGCAACCGGCACATTCCTGCTGCCCACACCCCCCATCCCCCGTCCCGCAAGCCCAAACCCCAGTCCCCCATTCACCATCCCCAGGATGATGGCCCCCCGCCCAACCCAGCGATGCACATACCCGAACACACTCTTGGCGGCCTCGCGCTTCCAGTGCCGATGCTGGAGGTAGCCTGCGAGCGGCTGGAACAGCACCAGCGCGCCGACGAGGATGATTCCGATAATGGGGTGCGCGTGTTTGAGGGTGGAGACTGTCGTCGCGAGGTAGACTCCGGTCCCGAGGCCGATGATGGTCAGACAGAGGGTGAAGAGTTGGAGGGGTGCGTGGAGGCCGGGGATGTTGTATTTTACCCCGAGGGGAATGGGGAGGGCGAAGAGGGGGAAGCACAGGAGGAAGGCGGTTGCCATGAGGGTGCCGTGGACTATGAGGATGGCGCGGGTTTTGGTGGGGGAGGGGAGGGTGTTTCGTCCTTGTTCTGGGGCGGTGGATTGCGAGGTCAGGGCGAAGGGGTTGAAGGTGCTGTTGGTGTGTTCTGGCAGGGCGAATTGGGCGTGGCTGAGGTCGAGGGTCGTGCTGCCCATGTCGGTGTGGATTGTTATGGTTTCTTCCGGGGACGAAGAGTTCAGGGGGCTGCCGGTGTGGTAGGCCCAGATGAAGGGGGCGGCGGTGGCGGTGGGGGCGTAGCTGGTGTCCGATGGGGAGGACCAGGAGGCCAGACAGTTCGTGCAGCGGATGGTGGCTTCGATGGTGTCGTCTGTGACACTGCTGCTGGGGAGGAGGGTTGCGTTGGCGAGATCCGTGTATTGCGGCTCGATGTGTCCTCGCCCTAGGCGCGGGGATAGGGTCAGGTTGGTGCCCGAGGCGCTGGTGTAGACCACGAAGATGTTGGCGCCGGCCATGCGGCTGCCCTGGCCCAGGGCCACCCATTGCAGCGTGCGCGGGGCCCGGATCTGGAGGTAGATTGGTCCCGCATTTTGCTGGGTGGTCGTGTCTGGGACGGTGACGCTGTAGGTCAGGTTCGGGTGGCTGGTGGACGGGGTGAAGGTCACGATGTTGGCGGTTGCTAGGGGGGCTGTCTCGTTACGTGGTTAGGACTGTGCCGTTGGACTGTACACTGGTAGGCTGGGGAGGAAACGTACCGAGCCCCAGAAAGGTCTGGAGAAGTCGAAATGCCCGCATTGTAGACTGGAGACGGAGACACGAGTTGGCGGGCGTTCACTACCCCCGGGGAGGGTAGGGCAGGCCAGGCCAACATCCTTTATATCCATCCAGCGGTCAAGTTCCATTGTGGCTGGCCCTGTCTTGGCTGTGTGCTCTGTAAGTGCAAACCAATTATCGAAGGCATGGGGGTCGATCCTCGTCGTATCGAACCTGTCTCACCCGGAACGTGATTCTGTCCTCCTTCCTCTTAGGAACGCAAATTTAAATTGTAGCGCACCAATCTGCATACCGCAAGTGGGAGATTACAATCCTCCCTTGGCTCACTCGTCCGGTTTTCCTTCTCATCGTTGAGGTAGGACTGACACTGACAGCGTCCAATTCCCGACCAACGTCCCCTTGCGCGCGCCCTTGCATTAGGGTTCTTGGGTCTTGCCCATCTTTCTCCGGTTACGTCGCCCGGTCGGGGGTGGGGGTGGGGGGGATGCAGTTCAGCGAGGGGATGATTTTGCCGGGCAAGGGGGATTGTGTTTTTGACGAGGGATACGGGAAATGAAGTCACGATCTTTGTTTGTGGGGAGATTCAAAGAACAGCAAAGCTGGTACAAAGGACGTTGGGTTGTTTGGGTTTGGGTCGGGGTAGTTCAATAAAAAAGCATTGATGCATTGATATTGATAGTACGTAGCAATGGTGCGCCCCGCTGGGATCTGCAGCTAGGCCTGTTTGGGAGGCCCGGAATGGATCCGTCGGTGCTTGCGTTGCTGCTTCTTCCTAGGCTTCCATCGTTTTCCCGCTCGCTCGCTGTTGGACAGCCGTGGATGAACGTAAGTCTAACTCATCCTCTAATCTGACCACCCTATTGCTGGGGTCTAAAGAACTCGATCGAAGAAAGTGCATGATGTCATGAGATCCTCTGCAAGATCCCCCGGATAATACGAGAATTCCCTCAGTCACCTTCTTCGTGAGGAATTAATCCCATGGTTGGATGCTCAATGGCCTTTAGGCTGGTGGTCCGTCAGCTGGATCGATCAACACAATAGAATCGTGGTTGACATTCCCAAACCCACGGTCGGAACCCGCTATTAATATCATTAAGTCTAATGTAAAGTGATCATCTGCATGGTGGGGGTTTTGACAATTCATGGCCAACGTGGGCATCGAGATCGCTAACGGCACCGCGCCATGTCTTTGTTGTATACACAAAGGGTTCATCGAGGTATACCACCTTCCTTCCACCATGTTCCAACCCATCTTTCTAACAACAGAGTCTAAGGTTGAAAATCATTCTGCCTAGCAAGCAGAGAGTTTGGGTTTCCGACGCAGAAACGCGTACGTGGATACGAAATCCCAAGCCCTTGGCGCATAGCGCAGAAAACCTCCGTTCTGTCACTCACGCCCGAACACATCTCCCCGACGTCAAACCACCCCCCAGCAAAGATACACAGCCTCTATCCTCACCATACACCACCTCCTACCACACCGTCTACTCTACAGAGCATCTCGCCGCACCTCCTTCCGCATAAACACCTCCCACAGCCAAATCACCTCCCCGTCCACACTCCGCTCCTCGTACCGCGGCTCCTCCTTCCACCCGACGTACCCGGCCTTCTCATACCACTCCTGGATGCTGAACGCGGGCACGGGCTGGTCCATGCGCGCCCAGATCCCCCGCCACTCGCGCCCCTCCTGGTACAGATACTTCTTGCTCAGCGCCGTCAGCGCGATGCATTTGCAGGCCGGCTCGCGGGCTGCCTGCTCCTCGATTAGCTGCAGCGCGTGGCGGCCCACTCCTGCGGAGCGGTACTCGGGTAAAAGGAAGAAGGTCTGCAGGGCGAGGATGGATCGGTCGGCGCGCGCGAGGTCCGGGTCTGGGGGGTCGCTGTAGGCGTCGAGGGAGATGTGGCCGGCGCGGATGGTGTTCCTTTGAGAGTTAGGGTTGGGGCTGGGAATGACAACCCAGAAGAAGTTCTTCAGGCCTTCGGATTGTTTGGCTTGCCATTGCGCGAGGGTGGTCGGGTGGTGGTCCCAGCCGCAGAGGGTGCGTTGGCGTTGGAGTTCGGTGTGTTGTGCTGGGTCATTGAGGTTGATGGGCTCGAGGGTGCAGGGCGGCAGTGGCATCGTGCTGGCTTGCGGGATAGAGGATAGGCTGGGGTTCTGACGGTGGTTGTATATTGTGTTGCGATACGTGCCCGGGTACCACGAATTAATGGTTAGATGTAGCTTCTAGACTGGTGCTGGCAGTCTATATCTAGACCATACCAATATCGTTCCTCTTACTGTGCCAAGAGCGAGATGGCGTGATTCACAGCTTAAACTAACTCTAGGCAAACATCGCATTAGAAATGATTGCACGTTCACACTGTCTACGTCGGCATCGGAATAAACTGTCGATGCCGGACTCCGAGCCGCTACCGGCGATAAGCGATAAGCGATAAGCGATAAGCTAGTTTCCTTCCATCTCCACCAATTCTTGCCTTCTCTTCTTGACTATCACTCTACACACCACGCGTCTTATGCTTCGTCGCAACGGAAAGCCGACCTCGTGCGAGCCATGTCGGCTCTCCAAGGTCCGCTGTGACCATGCGACGCCCATCTGTCGACGCTGCCAATCGCGAGGCAATGCCAACCAGGTAGGTCCAGGTGACTCATTTCTGTCTCACAGCTGACAATGACAACTGCAGTGCTATTACCACCCTGCCCCGTTGACGCGGGTCAAGGATGGGGGCATTGCGCGCCCTCGTATAACACCAAAACGAGGAGCAATTCACCAATCTTTGTTGGACGTCCCCGACCTAAGTCCGACACCAGAGCTTGCAGCGCCAGGCCAACCGCAGACAGACACCGAGACCAAACACGGACAAGACTCCGAGTTCCTGGGCTCGACAAGCTATCTCTCTGTGTTCAAAGAGACCCCACGCGGGATATCCGGCAAAGCGAACCGGTCCCTCTACGCCGAGTTCGAGCACTGGCGCACCCAGCATGCCTACGCATCGTCGCGCCTGATCCGCCTGGCCTCCGCCGTGGCCTTCCACCGCGACCAGATCGAGTGGTACCATCGCGTCAGCCGCTTCACCGTGGTGCCCGCCCCGATCATCCTGGACTCGCTAGACCGAGTCCAGGCGCACATCGACCGCAACCCATGGGATGTCACGGGCAATTGGAAGGAGCTCTACGAGACCATCACCGCCGCGACCGGACGGCCCCTCGAAGTTTCGAGTGACATGTCAGCCGGCGACTTCTACGCGCAGTTCACCGGCCCGAACCTCCGGTGGGAGTTCATCGCCTTGATCTTCGCCTCGTCTGGAATCAGCGCCATGGTCCGGTACCCCGGCCACCATGTCGTGGAGCTGGCGCACGGGGAGACGATGACCGTGGAGATGTTCATGAAAGAGATGGTCCTGGCGGGCAACGCGTGCATCGAGATCAGTAAACAGTTCGGCCACGTCAACGATCTAATCCTGTGGGCGCGCTACATGCATGCGCATCTAGCGATGGAGGTTTTGGGCGATACGAGTAAGTGCCCCGGCTGTTGTGTATCCTCAGCACCAGACTCACGAACAGACAGGTGAACGACTCTACAGCCTCTTCGGCGACCTGATCTCCAACATCTACACCATCGGCCTCCACCACCAGCCCTCGCGCGACGTGCCGTTCTTCCTGGCCGAGACAAGAAAGCGCATGCTGGCCGTCACCCATCGCACGGACAAGAACCTCGCCACGCTGATGGGGCGCCCTCCGCGTCTCCTGCACCAGTACTGCGATGCAGCCCCACCGCTGGACATCGCCGACGAGGACCTCTTCCTCGACGGACCGTCCCTCAACGCCGTGCTGGCCGCGCTAGACGACCAAGGCTGGCACCGCGCGAGCAGCTTCATGCCCGCGACCGTCATACGCATCCGCCACTTCCTGTCCACGCTCCGCGAGCAAGTCCTAGAACTGTCCTTAGGCAATAAATCCGCTGCCGACTATGGCGATCGTGTGCTGTAAGTCCCTTATCCTTTTATTCACGTTTTGTCCGGTTTCAATGCTAATGAAACTAAGAAAAACATACCACCTCTGCCAAGAAACCCTAACACAAATCCCCGCGCGCTTCCACTACACCCAGGACTGCTGGCATATCCCCGAGAGCGAGCTGATGGAATCCCTAGCGCGGATCCTCGTGCAATTCGACTACCAATTCAGCGTCCTGCACCTGCAGCGCATCCGCTGCAAGACCCACAGCGCCAACGCCACCGCCGACCTGATGGATACCGCCCTGCAGGTGCTGTCCATGGTCATGGACCTGACGCGGATGTTCCACTCCCACGAGATCCAGCGCCAGTTCGCTTGCATCGTACGCCTCCCCCGCGTTCCAAACCATCCCTCTCCCGCCCCCCACTTTCTAACAAAGAGTAAAGTACCTGAGCTACGGCATCCCCGCCGCCGGCATCCTCGTCACCGAATTGCACAGCCACACCCTCGCCAACCGCGCCTTCCCCGCCGCCACCCCGCGCTCCGAGATCATCCGCTCGCTCAGCGTGCTCCTCGCCTGGGTGCAGGCCACGCAGCTGCCGCCGTCGACCACCGCCGTCGCCGCCAGGGAGCTGACCAAGGTGGTCAGTCGGTTGTTGGATGATGCGCTGAATCATCAGCAGGGGGTTGTGGTGGGGGGAGCAGGACCCACGGACGGTGAGGTTATCGCTCCGATGGTGCGTGATTCCGGGGATCTCCTCCCACCGGGCTTTATCGAGGGGTTCCAGCTGCCGTCGGAGGCGCTCGGGGTGGGACTCGCCTCCGAGGGGTTTTTGAGTTGGTTGGATGAGTTGGATTTGGGGTTGATTTCGGCGGAGGGGTTGGTTTGATGTCCCCACTAAGCAATGTGAAACTTGGTTCTGTCTCGTTTGTGCTGGTGCACTGTACAGTATGTAATGTGACTAACTAGCTGTATACTCTTCGCATCCGGAAACTTCTATCTTTAGCACATTGTGTTCAATTGACATTGAAGTCTCAGAAGAATACTGTTATAGACGTAGGGCCTCTGTTCAATCTCGCGGGTCGAGCACGGGTCATTCGCCTATTAACCTGGGAAGAAGCCCCGAACCGAACAGGGGGTCGCATCCTCCCGCACTCCCATCTCGACAGGATTTTGAGGGGACCCACCCAGTAGCTTTGCTGCCATACTAGAGAGGAACCCAGGCAGTTCTGGCCGTGCCACGATACTGCGGCAGAGGGAGGTGATTGCTCCATCCAAGAGGCGGAGGGCGCGACATATCCAGGTGCAGGAAAGACAGTACTTTGGTTCCCATTGCTTTTGTCCGCGGCCGGCTGGCTACCTCTCTCTCAACACGCGCGTCATGTTGTCAGCAGTCTGTCATCGGCGGCAGCGGAGGCCAGCAGGGTTGTTGTTCACTTGCTCATGATTGTTCTTCTTGCTACCATCGGTACAAATAGTGGGTGTGTGTTCGATTTCCCTACCTAGAGTTGCCCGTACGTCAGAATATTCTATGTATAAATCCTGATTTGGGCCTAGGCGACAAAGAAGGACCTGGGGTAGTTGAGCTTTGGCCTATATAGAATTTTCCGGCCTAAGTAATGTGAGTAGCTCTATCGGATGTGTAACCATGAAGCTATCGAATCGCAAATACCGCACGGCAAAGGTTAACTAGAGAGAAGAGCGAGAGAGCGGGGACGGTACGTGGTGCTCCAGGTGCAGGTTGCTTGAAAAGGTGGTGGGTTGGGGTGTGGTTTACTGATGGCCGAAGCACCCGGTGGACGAGTAGCCCACCGTAACCGTGGCTGTCCAGACAGGATCGATGGACCGGGATCCCTGCAACTTGGGGTTAAAAAAGCCGTCTGGACGGGTTTAGAGGATGCTGATCCCGGTCGATCAAATGCGTAGCATTTGGTTTTCGTGGACGGGGCTTTTACCCATTCGGGAATAGAATATTCTGCGCAGAATGGCGATGGCGAGGAGTTGCGTGAATTCGCGTACCAGGGCAAATGGTGGAATGGATGTTGGATGAGAGTGAGATAGGAACAATGTGCAATACTGGGAGAACTTGTGTGATAAAGACATGGAAGGTGTACAGGCTATCGAGGTCTACTCGACGTATAAATAGGGCTGAGGGAGAGCGTTTTGAGAACGTGGGGGGCAGACGTTCGACACAGCCAACGATTCGATCTACACCGTGAAGCGAGTCTGAAAACAAGAGCAATGAGCGGGCTGAGCTCCCTTGAGCCTAGCAGCCAGGGATGTGCACCGTGTCGATGCCACAGCACCATAGTATGTTATTTCCAGTATAGGCTTTGCGAGTTTCTCTTCTCCCGAGTTTGTACTCATATTCTGCCAGTGCCTAGCATATAACTTGCCGAAAGCGTCGGTTCGCAACTGCACCTCCTGCCAGATATACCATCTTCATGCACGCTCGCCATACCTGTCAGTCCGAGATTCACACTGTTTGGGCTATAATCATCATGCTGGTGGGGGTGCTGCCGCTGTCTTTTTCAACAGCCTCATCCAGGCCGACTGGAGCAGCTTCGGGATCATTTTCTCCTCGACGACGTCGTTCCCTGACGCAAGCATCTTTTCGTCCCGTGCCGTTGCGGAGAGAGTCTTCAGCACCTTTATACTCCGGACTGAATTGCTTGAGTTGCTGGTCTTGCATCAGGAGTTGATCAGAGCAGGGATATCACTCGGGCTGGATGCCGCGGCCGCTCGAGCGGTTGCTTCGCAGAGGCTGGCTGTCAGGCTAAGCGGTCGTGATGGTCATACAGAGGAAGAACCGCAGATCCGGGACTGGGTTCAGGAGATGGACGATTTGCTCGCGCGTGCTGCTGCGTGGCAGCTCCTACTTGATACTTTCGGGGGCTGTCTAGAGGTACTTCTTCTGGACGATGATGTACTTCCTTCAACTGTGCTCCATTCGGGGCTGGAATTCAGAGAAGCGTGCTTGGGGCTGAGTGGCGTGGCGGAGATGATGACCTGCCTGCATGGCTCGCGCTCTTGTCAAAGAAGGTGGTCCCTGGCTCGGGAGATACATGTTCGGGTTCAGTCTAGTATGAGGAACCGCAATGTCGGTGGTGCCGTGCACGATGAGGATGTGAGAATGAAAGGTGCAGAGTGTGATTGATTAAGAAGGATTGGGATGACTGCTGACTGTGGCTTACTTATCTGTCTTTGCTTTGCCATGACTATACATTGATTCAACAATTGAGATGCCTACCCGAACCTTTCTCGGGCGACGTTTTGATTGAGGTCTAGTTGAAGATATTCTAAGCCCCATCCGATTGTAAGCCTCGCTCGAGTGTAAGCCTCGCTATGTGGGAGCGGGCCGTCGGTCAAGCCCGTTGTCTCTGCGTCAGTATCTCATTTCCTCCGATCTCGGATTCCGAACTATTCCGCGCCAACAGATCTCTGGGACGTCAATATTGCAGTGCTTGCATAGCATGCGCAAGGCCTCATGCTTGGCGGATGTGGATGGAGGGTGCCACTCGTTCCACAGCTCATCAAAGACCGCCTGATAGTCAAAGGAGGGGTTTTTGAGTTAGTTGGATGAGTTGGATTTGGGGTTGATTTCGGGGGAGGGGTTGGTCTGATTTCTTTCTTCGGGTCAGTTGACTTCGAGTGAACGTGTTCAGTTGTGCAGGTGGGTGGCTTGATGAAGCAATACCGGCGATATATTGGATTAGCTGTGGTTGGGATGACGCCAGAATCGTTGACTGACTGTTATCTTCGGGATATACACTGTATCGATACCATTCTTCTAACCTGGCCATTGCCCCCTCATTCTGTACACCACTTCCCTCACTACAATATAGACTTCGGCAAAATAACTGCTAGAGTTATATTTTTCAGCTTGTAGGATCAGCCTATCTATGATCTAGTGTTCCTCTTCAGAGATTGATATACATAGTATACCTACACGTAGACCCCGCATGACTGTAGGCAGGAGAAAAATGCATCAAAGATATATCTTACTAGGATACCATACCTCTAACCTAATGTTCAATCCTGAACGAACCATTTGCTACCAAGCTAGCAAAGCAGGAAACCCTTGTTAAGTTAGTGAAATATTCCAACCTATGATCGTGCGATCAAACAAACCTCTTCTCCGGTATTCACCACCAAGGCCCTTAACCGCTAGACGGTCACCTAGAAAGATGTATCCCTTGGAAAACCCCATCAAGAACTGTCGGAGTCAGACGGCCAAGGCCAAGAGGAACACCGAGCAAAACAAGACGATCGTTCGTTGGCCCGATATACTTAGTGCCATGCACCACACAGTAGACTAAATTAGCGGCGGCTGTGTTGTAAGTTAGCGCTTACAGGAAGGCTGGGAAATATTAAAGGAGACATGGAGAGGGAACGAAGGCCCTCCTTACCTGCTTGGTATTCACTTTCAGTCCCCTAGGGCTGTTGTTAACATTCACTGGAGAGATCCCATTCCCCGACTAGCAGTTGCGATGCCCTTTGATTGTTGGGGTTGTGGGAACAAGAACGGCAGGAACGCAGCCGACGCTGTTGCCCCTCCGCGGCCGGTGAATCTCGTCTCCCCCTCTTCCTCCTCCCATTCAGTCCCAAGTCCACCACCAGTCACGCGTTCCCCCTCTCAGATCACCGTCCCACCACAGAGGGCTTCATCAACATCCGAAAAGCACGACCTTTGGAAACGAGCAGAAGAACAATTGGACGAAAAAAGCCGCAAACGGCTCCGGTTGAGCCGGGACAGTAACTCCCCCTCGCCCCCGATTGATCGAGTGCTGGCGGAGATCATCAAAGAGATCACAGCCAAGTACGAAGACTACCAAAAAGGCAACCTGAGTATCCGAAACCGCGGCGATGGCGATAGGAAGGCCGATGTTCGAGGCTCCGCCAAAAAGGTCCTTGTCTGCGTGTTACAAGCCCAGGATCTCGTTAAGGCCGTGGTCGGGTTCGATCCCACCGGCTACGCCTCCATCGCCTGGTCAGTCGTGGCCTTTGGGCTCACGCTGGTCAAAAACGACATCGATCGGCGGGACGCGATTGTGGATGCCTCGGAGTTCCTCGCCAAGGCTCTCGCATACCATAGTATCATCGAGCACAATTACCGGAAGGGAACCAATCCAAGCTCGGCGAGATTGGACGATGCTCTGGTCGATGTTTATGTTGCTCTTCTTCGGTACATCGCAGAAGTCCAGAGTACGGGAGATGAGAGCGCCGTTGCTCGAGTGGGAAAGAGTATAACTGCTTTCATTGGTCAACCGCTCGACCGGCTGAAGTCGGTGGTGGAGCAGAAAAGCGCTGTCGTGGATCAATGGAAGACGATTGTAAGAGATGAGGATCAGAATCGCCGTGCCGAGGTTATTCTGGTGCGGATCGACGAGATGGCTAGGCAGGTGCACAGTATCGATCTTCGAACCAATGATCAAGAGGAACTCAGCATTCTTGACTGGATTTCCACGTTCTCTTACTCCAACATTCAGAATGAGACCAAGAAGAGTCGTTCGCCTGAGACGGGAGCCTGGTTGGTGCAGTCCAGCGACCGGTATCAACGGTGGAAGACCACACCGGGACAACTTCTGTGGCTGCATGGCCCTGTGGGTTGCGGCAAATCAGTTCTGTGCTCCACCATTATCGCAGACATTGACCTCCACTGCAATCAAAACATGCCCAACGTTCTCGCGTACTGGTACTTTAAGTTCAGTGACAATGAAACACAAAGCATGGAGAGTATGGTCCGATCTTTCATACGGCAATTGTGTCCCCGGCCTATTCCCAACCCGATCAGAAAGATCTGGGAGGACCATCGGAGGAATCGAGAGCCGGACTTGGAAGTACTCTTGGCAATTCTCCATGAAATCTTAGATCTGCTGCCTGCAGACATATTTATCATCCTTGATGCTCTCGACGAATGCCCGGTTGAGACTCGAGAAAGGCGCCTCTTGCCTTTCATGAATGATTGGATAAGAGATTTTTCGACCAAGGCCCATCTGCTCCTCACTAGCAGACCGGAGCCTGACATTCATCAGGCTCTTATGCAACACACCCTATTTGGGCTCGAGGATGCTTTGAGCGGAGATGTCGAGAAGTTTGTGCAAGAGAGACTGGCCAATGGTAAGTTGCGTAGGTGGAATCGCTCTATCCTTGAAAGGATAGAACACGAGCTACTAAACGTTTCAGAAAGGCAAGTCATGGGTGTAGGCCACATTCCCTATCCGTGCTGACCATCAAGTAGGCGATTTCGCTGGGTTGACCTGCAGATAAAGCGCCTCGAAAGATGTCACATTCCCCAAGACATCGACGAAGCGCTTACAACAATTCCTGACACTCTTGAGGCGACGTACAAAGGAATCCTCGAGCAGGAGATTCTACCAAGGTACCACGATGCAGTACGATCCATTTTCACTTGGCTCACTTTCTCCATGAAGCCCCTAAGTCGGGAAGCCGTCGCAGAAGTAGCCGGTTTTCCGTCACCCGACAGCGTCATCGAGATATGCACGACTCAGATGGTTACTCTCAACACAGCAGATGGGACTATCAGACTTGCTCATTTTTCCGTGAAAGAGTTTCTCCTTTCTGAGCAAGTTACTCACTGGTGCCATTTATCGGAGATGCTTGGGCACCGCGCCATACTGAGCCAGATTCTGTCGCGCATTCTCACAGAGAAAGAGGAACTGACATACGAGATTGCTATGAGCAAACCACTGCTGCTCTACGGTTCCAAAAACTGGCCCGATCATTTCCGGCAACTGGAGAGCTTAACACCCGATTCAATACCAGAGATATATCTAATGCTTCTAGAACTTTTTACGGAACGCGTGGTCTATCTGAACTGGCATCGCTTGCGTGGTATGGGATATTCTGACTTCAACAGTTTTATGGTATCCGAGTGGCCAAGACCAACGGCTATGGCCATTTCCATGCAATTTGAAACCTTGGTTGAACTGCTACTAGAGTTGAGATTCGATTCAATGGGTTTCCCTCTGCAGTCGAGAGAAAGCTTGCTGGTAAATGCAGCCAGATCCAGTGTCAATATTCTAGTACTACTCTTGAAACGTGCCATCACAGTGCCCTTTCCTGAGGCGAAGGAAATTCTTCTAGAGCTTCGACCCCGCTCTGAGAAGGATCGAGCAACATTGAGCCTTGTCGTCGATCTGCTCGGGAACATGGGCGCGCTTTATGGTTTTGAAGAAAGCGAGATCATTCACCCAGTCATCCTATTGAGCATGACAAGGAATCCCAATTGCGCGGATGTGCTATTGGATATTTGTTTCGATCGGCACGACCAAAATACAATCCCGGTAACGGCAGAGCTTCTTGAGGCCGCGTTTGGCAATGTTGATCTTAGGGTTAGCATTCTGAAAGTCCTCCTTCGACGACGAAAAGCAGAGTTACAGTTTACACAGCAGATCATGCATCTAGTGGCAGACATATCACCATTCAATTCCGAATTGGCTATCCTTGTGCTGAGAAATCACAGCCAAATCACTTGCCTGCTGCCCGAACATGCTGAGACTTTTGCAGGAGGAGCCTCAAGTGAGGTCTTGAGACTGGCCCTTGAGGTGTATGGAGAAAATATTATGTCGCAACGTAATGTTTTACTTGCGGCGTCTGTCAATCCTGGTGCCCGAGACATGATCCGACTCCTCTTATCTGGCAAGGAATTGAACGCCACGTTACGCCATGAAATGATTCTAGCAGCTGCCACCGAAAGAAAGATGGAAGGCCTCAAGTTTCTGTGTTTTGTGTTGGACTTATGGGGCCCACAAATCGAAATTGACCAGGATATCATGATTGCCGCTGTCAATAATTACTTTCGCGGGATGGCCATTCTCGAGGCATTCTTGGCGAGACAGCAGGCAGGCTTCGCCGTCTCGGAAGCAATACTGCTCGAAGCTGCCTATAAAAGTACGCAGGAAGTTATGCAATTGCTGATGAACAATGGAGGCTCGGAGATTCCGATCCGTCAAGAACTTTTGCTTGCGGCCGCAAACAACAGAGACTACGGCCTGTCTGTGTTGCGATTCCTATTACTGTTTGTTGGCCCAGATTATGAAGTACCTTTGAATCTTCTGGAGGCAGCCGCGGGGAACCCAGCCAAGTCTAATGGAGATGACTTTCGAGCTGTCATAGATATGTTCAAAGAAGATACAGTACCCGACAGCGTCTTTATGGCAGCGTACGACAAGCCCAATCATATGAGAGTGCTCTTAAACCGGAACGGCAACAACGTACCGGTTAGAGACTTGATTATCGCGATGAGCAACCGCTGGACCTTAGGAACCCTAGCAACCTTTCAACTACTTCTCGAACAGCACGTCGTCGTGGTAGATAAATGGGTAATCGAGCAGACAGCGGCCCGCAATTATCAATGCCTGTGGGATATGCTCCGACATGTTCCTCAGTTTCCGATCAACGAACAAGTGATCATAGCCATAAAATATGAAAGTGGTGTCCGCTTGATCCTGCATCATGCTGAGGAAAAGGGCCTCTTGACCGAAGAAATGATCAAGATTGCCCTAAGTTCAACGTTGCTGGAGACACCGTGGCTCAAGCACTTCCTAGCAGAGGGCAATTTGAAGGCTTCCCTTACGGACAGTGTTCTGGCTCTCGCGGGGAAGCGGGATCCAGAACTACAGCTGCTTCTATCGCAGCCATAATTTCCAGGACCTGAGAAGCGACCTTGGATAAACTCTTAAACGGTCAGCTCGATATTTCAACTGGTATTAAGATACGCGAGATTTAAAGCAAGTATAATCTGCTGCATATTAACGGAAATCAGCCGAGACTCCCACGTTGGGTCTTTTCCAACTCATCAACTGTTCCAGAACTTTGGCGTAGGCGCTCAAACGATGATTAAGATGATGACTCTGTCACAACCACAGGAGTCACCTTGCTAATACTACTGCTTTTGATCAGTTCGTTTGGCCAGGCTGGTCCACAGTAATGGAGACATCAAACCAGGACGGAAACTCCAAGATATGACCAACGCCCTTGCACGTGCTTGACGAAGGCCCCAGCCACTAGACCATTCTTCTCGCTGTGCGTCGTCGTCGAACCATGCCGGTGCTGGGCCCGCAGTCGCTGCAGGGCCTACATGGCGATCTCTGAGCACTGGTGGCTTTATGTTTACTCCTATAGACCGATGCACAGTTTTCCGACGATTTTGATGTCAAGGATCTGGCTTCTCTAATTTACGACCATCATAATGGATTTACCGCCTCGCATACTTTCCTACTTCTTATGTGGCAAGCTTAACTTTGATTGAGCTTTGTGATACATCGAGCCCAGTACATTCATACTACTGACCTGATATACCAAGCCAGCGGCGGTCTAGCGTAACCTAAACATAAGGCAAAACGGCCAGTGTTGATAATACGAACCTTCAATGCAGCGAGATAGCCCTCGCTTTCGGACCCCGACACTCGTACGTCGCCAAAACGGTATGGCCATCCAACCCGAACACACCGGGCCAATGGCTCGACTCGCCACAGATGGTCGTGGCGGAGTGATCCCACTGGATTTGCCCATTGACTGGTGGCGGCGCAAACACCGCCTTGATGCACGCATTCTTGGTCCAGTTGACCTCCTGATGGTCCTCGTCCGTCATGAAGACGACGGCCAGCGACCCGTTCGCGAACGAGGCGATCTGCGGCGCGCCCGCGTTATGCCGTTGCCCGTCCCGCGGCGCGTACACAACATGGCGGTGGCCCCAGCTCCGCCCGTCATCGTACGAGATCAGCCCCTCGATCTGCATGGGGCCCTGGGTGTTGGTCTCGAACACCATGACCAGCGCGTCGCGGCCTTCGTCGCGCGTCCGTGCAATCCCATTCATCCCGTCGCGCCTGTTGTCGTCCCGCCCGTGCAGGCACTGCGGCGCCGACCAGGTGCTGCCCTGGTCGGTTGACGTCACCAGCATCGTGCACTGGTTGTTGTGCGCCATCTCCTGCGAGTAGGTGAGCTGCACTTCGCCCCCAGCCCCCATGCGCATGAACGGCTCCCAGACTCCCAACCCGTCGCCCCCGGATTTCTCGGCCGCCTGCGAGGCGAACTGCCAGGTGTGGCCGCCGTCGTGCGAGCGGCAGACCGTGATGCGGAAGTGGGTCGGGCGGCCCGAGGGGTCGTGGTCGTGGTTGCGGAACGCACCCAGCACGACGGAGGGGGCCACCTCTAGGAGGAACAAGTTGTCGGTGTCGCCTGTGCCGCGAGTGACTTCGCCGATGTCTTCGAAGCGGTGGCCGTCGGTGCTGCGGGCGACAACGAGGGCGCGTTGGCCGTCGCCGGGGAAGCGAGTGAAGGAGGAGAGGAGGGAGCCGTCGGAGAGGCGGGCTAGACGGGGGTAGGTGCCGCCTTGTTGGGAGGTGAGAGAGCGCTCATCGTGGTGGACGTGGCTATTGGGGCGGGGGTGGCCGTGGCCTGGATAGCCCATTGGCTGCTGCTGCTGGCCATATTGTTGTTGGTTGTATTGGTACTGCTGCTGATTGTATTGTTGCTGGTTATACTGGCCGTATTGTTGCTGGTCGTAGTGCTGCTGTTGCGGGGGTTGCTGCTGCTGTTGGTCGTGGTGGTCGTGAAGACCCAGCTTGTTGAGAATCTTGTGGCCGAAGTCAGGCATGATGATTGAGGTATGGGAAATATAATATAGATTGATGGATATAGAGATAGTGGTGATGATGAGAAGTCAATTGAGATGATTGTTGGGGTATTCAGGGTTTCTTGCGGGATTGCGTGGCTTTTATAAGGCGGGGCAGGATGACGTAACGCGGGGCCCCTGAAACATTGGGGGCGCTTACGCTATTTATAGTTAAGGTGTTGCCTGATATCCTTTCATTTGGAGCACTGTCAAGATGGATAGGAATGAATATATAGGGTGAGTGTGACATAGGGCTGAGGCAAGCTCGGATCCAGATCTGGCTTGCCGGGGTCGGACAATGGGTTGCATTGAGGGACGGTACCGTACTCTCTTAAACAATAAAATACAACCCAACTTGACCTCACAAGCCCACTTCAAGCCCGAGACTGCCTTATATGCAGGCACTGCACACCCCCAGTCTACCTTGACTCCTCGTGGCTTCCATATACATATTGTGGATGCCACATTTAAATTGTCAATGAACAAGCTTCTCGCTGTCATGTACAAAGTAGACAAAAGACTGTGGGAGCAGATCCTCAAACGCTAACATATATAGTTGTCGTCATGCCTTGATCCGCTTGCTCTGTTGATGAAGCAAACAGGCTTCATCTGAAATTTCTAAAACTGCTCGATTCAGAGAATGTGAGGTTGAGCCTATATTCGGACCCATTCCAGACCGTTTCATCTTCTCTTCTGAATATCAATATGTATTTGGAAACAATAGGTGAACCTTAATTCAAGGTGCTTGGCTGCGGTCAATCATAATCTAGATAACTTGAAATAATGCACACATCACATCAGCCCTATAATATATAGCAGTGTTATGGGGTGATCAGACCACATAACACAGCCATTTGCTTTCCACAGTGTAGCTAGGTTTCTCATCAGAACCACTTTTGGCAACACGGGAAACTCAAGAGGTCTATTCATAAAGCATACACAACCTGGGCAGGTTCTGCGGTACTTAGTGCGATAATCTCTGACGTCCGGAGATATGGCGCGATTTGGCTGCCAGCCCAATTGCCATGCTTCTGTTCTTTGCTTGTCACAGTACATGATAACCAGAATCTAAGAGGCATGCTTTGTGTTCCACTTGAACGAATCACGATAATCCCAACTATCCTTGAGGAGCTCAGCCCATGTGGCAGTGGTATTATTCCCTAACTGTACTGCCATTCGTCCTCGACTGAAGAGCCTTCTTAGAAATACACCGGCGGTGAAATATTGTCTCCGTCGACCAGCAAGGATGATCGTGAGCAATCGTGCTTTTTTGCTGAGTCTCTACTGATTGATGAATTTGATAAGCTGTGAACATTGAAGCAGCCTAGCCTGGTGTTCGATAAGGACCCCGAAGCGACAGAGCCCTGAAATAAGCGATGAAGTTGGCACACTAGGCCGACATGAGACGAGCCCCTCTCGTCAGTAGCGAGTCATGGGAGGCAGCCCGTCAGAATCCCGGGTTAGGCACCGGATATGCAATTCCAAGGTTGGCGCAGGGTGTCAGATGTGCCCTTCAGCTGCCGATCATCACCAGTGACAGAAGGAGCCGATCGTGGTTACGCCCGAAAGAGGCAAGATGATGATAAGCGAGGAGGGGGGTTCAGTCTTGGCGCGGAAGCAGCTGACTAAGGACAGTCGGGAGACCTTGCCTCTTCGGAAGCACAAATTTTAAGCTCGCCGAGCGGGAAAGCCCCCGCAAGTTTCCCGCCGCCCACTCTGATTGGCGGGCAAGCGACAGCCGCGAGCGGAGAGCATCCACCGGGGCGGGGCGGACATTAGGTAATGAAAGACCACGATTGGTCAGGAGGGAATTCTAGATGTAACCTGGCCGGGCCGCAGAGATTGATTGCCCATGAGGCAATATTCGAGGTGGGCGAACGCCAGTGACTCAGAATGGCCACACCTGCCACTTTCCTCGAAGCACGCCTTTTTGTTTTGTTTATCTCTTCATCCCTCACTTCAATTCGTCTGGCTGGGAAAAGCTAGTAGCTGCCAGCTACCTGTACCTTAATTCTTCGTGTGTTCGGGGAGTTCGGTGGACTCATCCTCTCTCGGACGATCCCGCCTTGCCGCTTTCGGAAAATTTCTGCACTCTTCCCCAGGTCATCCGGGCTTTCTTTCATCCTTAATTCCTCCTCACCTCGGCTGTGTCGGAGAGCTTGAACTCTGAAGAGAGGAGAGAGTTGAGACTTGCTCCCTCCCCTCCCTCCCCTCCCTCCCCTCCCCTCTCCCCCTCGTACATCATACTAGGATGTCGCAACCCATGAGCATGGCCGTGGACGGTCACGGTACTGCTGAATTGAATCATGCGCCCCAGTATGATGTCGCCCTGCACGACAAGGAGGAGAAGCAGGAGGATCGCAAGGGCAGTCCCATCTATCAGGACACCTTTGGTGATGAGGAGTATGCCGAGGTCAAGTACAAGGTGCTCAGTTGGTGGTAGGTTCGCCATTTTCTCTTCAATTGATTCAATTCCCCGTCCATCTAGCTGACTGACTGCTCCCAGGCAATGTGGTTTCCGTGAGTCTTGCTTACTGCCACGATGATCCGCTTGATACTAATTTGATAGTCATGGTGGCCGAAACCGTGTCCTTAGGCATCCTCTCGCTTCCCGCCGTTGTGGGTGTCTTGGGCCTCGTCCCGTATGTATCACTGCTCTGTAATGTCATGAACAGCAGACTGACTGGTCCAGTGCAATTATCCTTCTGCTGGGATTGGGTCTCTTAGCCACCTACACCGGCTACACTATCGGCCAGTTCAGATGGGCCTACCCGCACATCCAAAACATGGCCGATGCCGGCGAGGTTCTTTTCGGCAGTTTCGGTCGAGAGTTCTTCGGCACCGGCCAACTGCTCCTCGTTGTCTTCATCATGGCCAGCCATATTTTGACCTTTACTGTGGCCATGAACACGATCACCGAGCACGGCACGTGCACGATCGTGTTTGGTGTAGTTGGCGTGGTCATCTCTTTCTTCTTGGCTCTGCCCCGGACCTCAGCCAACGTTTCCTACCTGTCGGTGGCTTGTAAGTGAGCGACTATTATGTCGGTTATCATGTTCTGACACTCGGACAGCCTTCATCAGTGTCTTCTCCGCTGTCATGATTGTCATGATCGCTGTTGGTATCCAGCGTCCATACAAGGGCGCGCTCGAAGTCACCGTGGACACCAGTCTGTACAAGGCCTTCCTTGCTGTGTGCAACATTGTTTTCTCTTTCTGTATGTCTTGACACTGTTCTTATGAAGATTTTCGCTTACGACCCAACAGCTGGCCATGTGGCGTTCTTCGGTTTCATGTCCGAACTCAAGGACCCCCGCGATTACCCCAAGTCCCTGTGTCTGCTGCAGGGCATCGATACGGTTCTCTACATCGTCACCGCCGTGGTGATCTACGTCTTTGCCGGACCCAACGTGACCTCCCCCGCGCTCGGTTCAGCCGGCCCGATGATCGCTAAGATCGCCTATGGCATCGCTCTGCCGACGGTGAGTCGCAACCGCTCATTGAAGACATTTCTGCTGAAGCTAATTTGATTTAGATCATCATCGGCGGAGTCGTCAACGGCCACGTCGCCTGCAAATTTGTGTATGTGCGGATCTTCCGTAACAGCGACCGCATGCACAGCCGCGACCTCGTGGCCACCGGCTCCTGGGTTGCGCTCATGCTGGTCCTGTGGATTGTGGCATGGATTATCGCCGAAGCCATTCCTGTCTTCAACGATCTTCTGAGCCTGATTGTAGGTGCACAGCCTGATGTTGATATGTTCCTCGCTGACTGACTTCTCCAGGCCTCCCTTTTCGCCAGCTGGTTTACTTGTAAGTATACCCATGTCACCTTTGGCCCGCATATCCAAGACTAACAAGGTCACAGTCGGATTCAGCGGCATGTTCTGGCTGTATCTCAACAAAGACCGACTATTCTCCTCCCCGAGAAAGATCGCGTTAACCATCCTCAACGCGCTGATCGTGGGTATCGCCGCTTGTGTGGTAAGTGCTGCTTTGCTTTCTCGCGTTGAGATCTTGGCTAACAACGAGTTCCAGTGTGGTCTTGGACTGTACGTCTCGGGACGCTCATTACACGAAGACTCCAATAGCTCGAGTTTCTCCTGTGCGAACAACGCATGAGCGGGCGGGAGTTGTATATTTTGGGTTTGGGTGTTGCATATACTTGCGTGATTTTGTATAATACTTTGTGTTTTGGAAGATGTCACCGGTACAGTGGTGTGCATCTGTGATTATAGATATTGCATCCGAATTTGTCGATACTATGGATCTTCCGTTCATTGATAGGAAATTGTCTCCGCCTTGTGAGTTGGACCCTGCCTGCGCCAAGCCTGCTTCCGCTATGGTCCGATCCGCATTGAACAGATCACGTGACACGAAGACTATGACTGCCAGAACGAGGCACAGCCTGCATCAGACGCTATCCTAGGTGTGACTATCTGGATACCAAGTGCCTTGATCTCGTATAGGGAATTGAGCGTTGGAGGACGAAACCCGAATCCCTAATCGGAGTGGTCGACAACCAGCTCTCAGCCGTGAATGATCGATGACAGCATTATTCAGGTTCTGGCCTCTCGCTTCTGCACCCAAGAGGAATCCGTCTCACATCACAAAGCTTGTTTAACGCTCTTAAGATGACCCCAGATCGACATACGGGGGTCTGTTCAGCCGCCCAATCGCTAATAATGTCCATGCCGGTGACAGCGGCCAAAAAGGGTCATGTGACTAACCGCACCCTACAACTTCTCGCCTCCTCACCTTCTACAAGGATCAACCATGTTGAGACAACTACGTAACCTTGAGACAAAACAACGAGTCACAATTGACGTGGCTTTTTGCCTCGGCTTCTATACGCTGCTGAAATACTCGTCCTACTGTCTGCGTCATGTTATGGGAATATGCGGCCTCCCGATGAACAAACGGCGCTGCCGGTCGAGTCGAAATGCTAGGATTAGGGACCGGCGTTGTGGTGTTTGCAGGAGACATGTTGTCTCTCTGTGGCATGCCTAGTCGTTTGCGCGTGGTTAGGGGTGGCTATTTGTTCTGTGGTACGGTAGTTCACGAAGACTCCAAACAAAAATCAGTTATCTTGAGGGCAGGTCGACGTTAAGGATCCCCATCACTCTGTTGCTGCCATTTATATCTCCTTCTACCAGACTATATTGTGCTTTCGCCTTTCCTCAACCTAACCCGGGCTATACCTGCATCCACAAGCACACACGCCCCCACACATATACTATGAAGTACGAGCCGTGGGAAGTGCCCCAGCTCCATCAGCAAGCCACCGGTGCCTGGGCCAAGGAGCTCGACAAAGCGATCGACTGCATCACCGGCGTGCTCGTCCCGAACCAAATCATCTTCCGATTAGGCTACGGCTTCACATCACTCGAGCTGTGGATCGAATGCAGCCGGGGTCAGTTTCTGAAGGCTTTCGAAAATTCAGACACGTAGGTTTTGTCCCGCTCTGGCCCTAACCCCGTCCATCGGCCTCCCACTTTCTTTTTCTGCCCGTGGAGTCCGTTCTCTTTTCTTATCTTATTCTTTCATTCTTCTTAATTCATAGCTCCGAAAAGTTAATCGAACGTACCCAAACCCTCTTTCCACAGATTCCGCACCCCTAACATCCTCCCCCAATCGCCCGCGGAACTCGAGCTCTTCTTCATCTGCCCCCGCGACTCCCGGCCCGCTAGCCCGCAACAGCAGCAGCTGGTCTTAATCAAATGCTACTGTGCGGGGCAGCAGTACGCGCTGCCGACGCTGTTCCAGGCCGAGGTCGCGGCGGGCGTCGCCTGCTACCACTTCTACTTCGTGCGGTGTGTCCGGTACGGGGTGCACCACCCGTGGTTCAACCTGCTGTACGAGCGGCTGGCGTCGTATGTTCTGGCCCAGCCGGAGGAGGTGCAGGCGATCAACGGGCGGCTGTCGTTCTACGGACGGCAGGTGTTTATGCACGCGTGGCGGCAGGAGAATCCGGCGGAGACGGAGTTCATGGAGCGGATTTTGGGGGTGTGGGCTTAGGCGAGAGCTTGGATGAAGGAATGTTGGGTTGAGATTGATTGGTCATGTCCTTTCAAACGGGAATGGGTTGGGTAGAGGGAGGGTGAATGTTTGGTGGTCATCTGTATAGGAGATGGCATCTCGGAATATCCCTTCCAGTATAATTCAAGCATTTCGGGCTTCTCCGCAGGTTCCACACGCCCAAGAGTCCAACATGCCACAAGCGGCCACATCTACGAGCAGACTACCACTCCTGCACCTCCCCAGTATACAGCACCACCTTCCCGCCCACCCGCTCCTTCGTCCCAGTGGTCAACACCTCAACCATCCCACCCACCGACTCCTCGATACTCGTCGGCGCGGCCTCCATCCCCCACCCCTGCGCCGCCGCATTCCCCATATCCGTCTGCACCCAGCCTGGATCCAGCACGAAGGCGTTGAGCCACGCGTCCTCGGCGTTGATGCGCACTCCGTACCAGGTCACCATCGCCTTGGAGGCGCCGTACACCGCGCTGGGGACGGGCGGCTGGCGGCTGCACCACAGTCAGTCAATCGGCAAGATCCCCTCTTAACACTCCATCCACCTCCCCAGCCCCCTGGGCAAAGAAAAGGGGAAACGTACCCCAAAGCCCCAGCCCCAGACCCCATGATCGCAAACACCGGCTTGTCCGCGGAATTCTGTAAAAGGTCCCGCGTCGCCTGGTAGAGCGCCACCACGCTCAGGACGTTGGTCTCCACATGCTCGCGGATCTCGGGCAGCTGGACGTCTTTGACCAGCGGGTAGGATTTGGCGATGCCTGCGTTGGCGACGACGATGTCGAGGTGGGTGATCCCGTGTGTGGTGGTGAGTAACTGCGTGGCGGTTTGGGCGGAGGTGTCGAGGCTTGCGTCGTAGGGGATTATGATGAGGTGGGTGCTTGGGTCTCGGGGGAGGGTGGGGAGGGTTTGGGCGGTGGGGTGGCTTGGGGTGCGGACTGCTGCGATGACCGTCTGATTCGGTTGTGAGTATGACAGTGTTGAAAGGGGAGTGGGGTCCGAGGGGGTGACGGCGCAAGACGAACGTGGTTGGGTTTCTGGAGGAAAAGCTTGAGAAGGCCCTGGCCGAGGCCGCGGTTGGCGCCGGTGATGAGGACGGTGGTTGTCATTGTGGTGGATGGTCGTGGGGGTCGGGGTTTGTCAAGGGAGAAAAGGATCTAGGACTCGGAAAGGTATCTGGATCGATTTGAGTTTGGTGAACTGGGTAGATGGGTTAGGAAGAATGGGAGAATAAGGATACTTATATACCTCAGAGCGAGCCACTGTTACTGTTAGCAGTTGATGTAACCGTTTTGCTGCGTAATGAGTTCAGGTACAGGAACAAGAGACACATTACGGACTGACTAACCAATAAGATGATACTATCAGCGCGAATGCTGTGCACGGTGAAGCGAAGATAAGCTATAGATAACTTTATCGCGATGCATTTCTAAGCATATTGGATTTCTAAGCACTGAAACGCCGCGCTAAAGAGGGTGTAAAGGGACAGAACCTATGAGATCGTGTATACTAGGCGACGTAGCCAATCGGAATCTTGACTCCGGACAGGTAGTTTAGTATCCACTTGACTGGGCCACGAATCATGACCTTGCCCTGGAGCCCTGGTACTCCACCCTGGCATTTCCTACGGTGTTCCATCAGAAGCGTTATGCACTTTAACATCACGACATCTCCCTCTCAAATTTGCGATAGTACCCAGTCCTCCCAGTTGCCCTACAGATCTGTGAAAGTCCGTTCGCCCGTGCATGCTCTCGGTTAACGGCTAAGAGGCGCATTACTTTGGACTTCTCAAAGAACCTTCCGGTACCACGCGAGTTTGTCGCTGGCAGGCTTCCACGTGATTCTCGCTGGGCCTTTCCCTTCCTCTCCTTAATTGCTCTTGTGTCACGCAAAGGTCAAGTGAAGATCTTTCATTACTTGCCATTTGTAATAGCGAACAGCGACCCTGGACCGATGTGCTTGTCCATGAGGTCGGCCCAGCGGAGTCAATGCTTCTGCCGGCTCCCTTTTCTCATACGCCGTGACGACGAATCGACCTTATAGCTAAACTTGCTCGGGACGGCCCCGGGGGCGGGTGGGGGGGACACTCTCTGCTAACAATCGATCTTTGCGACCGGTCAACTCTTATCCGTCAATTCCCCTGTTTCGGTTGCAGGGGTAAGGTGGTGATCACTGCGATAGCAGGTTACAGTCAATGCAGCACCAGAATCATATTTTGCCTTTTCAAGGCAGTTTGCTAGAAGCTGTGCATCATGAGGAGAGTCCCACTCGCAACCAGAGTAGTAGCCTATGGAAGATCACGGGTATACTCGCCGAGGGCTCCTCTCGAAAATGGGGTCTGGCTTAGCGGAAGCGCACTGACTGACGTCCGAATCATGAGCATAAATCCGATCTTGAGGAGATTCAGGATGTTTTATTGTGAAAGAGTATCCAATCTGTGCTCATGAGGTGTAGTGTTGAGGTTCTGTTCGGGCGGGGACGGCGCTCAACTAGGGTTGATTGGAATTTGCCCTTGACTACAGTGAACCAATGCCCAAGAATCACAAGATCGCCCTCTCCAGCAAAGAGCGCCCGCTGCCCACCCGCCTCCTCCGGATTTCGTGACCGTCCTCACCGCCGCCGAGGCGGCCATCGCCCATTCACCGAAGCAGCAACAGCAACAGCAGCGGACCGCCCCGCCATGACCGCGCGCCCAGAGATCGACCCCGCCTTGTGCGTGGCCACCATGCGGTGTCCGGATATCGGGCTGCGGTTCGCGGGATCGTGGCGTTGCGGGGCTGGGACGCCCAGGAGGCGTTTATGGGCGCCGCGTTCAATGCCGATCTGATGGAGGACGTCATGAAGGTGGAGTTATGATCCGGTATCGCGCCAGGGGGTGAGGTTCGAGATGGGTCCGGGGAGGAGGGATGCTGCCAGCGTCGGTTGCGGTGCTGCTGGTGGTGGTGGTGAAGGGAATGGTGGACTCCGCCCCGCTGTGGTGTGGATCGGGTACCGCGGGAGCGACGGGGTGGAGTGCGTGCAGTGGGTCCCGTTGGTGCGGAATGAGGCGCTGGCGGCGGAGCTGCGTGCGATCGACGGGTCGGCGGACTGGTCGTGTGTGCGGTATTTGCAGCTGTTGGATCATTTGTAGGGGGTTCGACTTTCTGTCCGGAAACATGTGAGGCATGAACGGGAGGGGAAGTTTGGAGAGTTGAGAATACTGTCAGGGAGTACTGAAGTGGTTGGTTCGTCGGGACTTGGAACCCTAATTCATTTAGGTCGGAGTTTGGGATATACAGAGTCCATGAAGTTAATGGTGAAAGCAACCTGTGACCCCCGTTTCAAATCAGAATACAATTTCAATTTCTCTGCGTAAAGTCACTTCAGGTTTCCGCCCCACTCTCGCGGAGATACAACTCCCGAAACGCCCCGACGCCACCCCAATCCTTTGTTTCGCGCTGAACCAACTCCTGCGGTGCCCCATCCTCGACAACCTTCCCGTCCCGCATCACGATAACGCGATCATATCCGTACTCGATCACGGCCCGGATCCGGTGCGTAACCATGATGACGGTCCGGCCGGCGAACGCGGTCTGGATGATTGATTGCATCTGGGCTTCGGTTTCTTCATCGACGCTGTTTTGGTATATCGGGTCAGCTCGGTGGTTTATTCTCCGTGATTCCCCAAAAGGTTAAAGACATCCCAAACCCAAGGAGAGAAAGTGTGTGTGCTACTACTAACCTGCTTGTCGGCTCATCGAGAACCACCACCCGCCCCGGACGAAGGCTGGCACGCGCTAGGCATAACAGCTGCTTCTGGCCGGGGGTCAAGGTATTCTCGTCGACGACGGTCTCCAGACCGGAGTCTGGGTTGATGAGATGGCCGAGGCCCACGGTGGATAATGCGTGCATCACTACCGTGTCATTGTCGTGTACATTAAATGGATCGAGGTTGCGACGGAGACTGCAACCCTCTAAGATAAATGAATCTTGGGGGACCCCGACGATGGCCGTGCGGAGGAAGGTCCGGTCAATGGTGGAGATGCTGCTGCCGTCGATGAGGATCTCCCCGTCCGTAAGGTCGGATATGCCAAACATGGCGGTGATCAGAGAGGTCTTGCCACTATATTAGAGTATGAATCAACTTATTCGGTCTTTTATGAAGCGAGGCGTGGACGATCGTAACTGGGAATTTGGAAAGAGGGGGGCGTCAAACCTTCCGGTGCGGCCACAGATGGCCACCTTCTGGCCCGCAGGAATTGACAGCGATATCTTTCGCACGGTACAGGCTGATTGAGCACTAGGATATCTCGCTGTTTAGAACCAAGGCATTGGTCTTTGACGGTAGCAGAAAAAGAAATAACACGAGAGGAACACTTACCCGTAGGCGATGGACACATCTCGAAACTCAATAGAGCCTTCAACCGGCCAGTGCTGTGACAATTGGTCTGATACCTCATGCGGGGCATGTTCCAGCATCTCGGAGGGTGTTCGTTCCACAAAGGACTTGATCCGCGCCACCGCCCCCAACGAGGTTTCCAGGGACGCCCAGTAAGTGGTCAAAAGCTTAACTGAGGTGCCAAAGGCGATGATGTTGACGAGGGCCAAGCCCATGGCCGCCGGGGAGATCTTCCCCAGGCTGGCAACGCCGATCCCCATGACCACCACGACAAATCCAGCCAGGCTGAGATCTAACACCAAGGCGAGCCACGTCTGCACGGCGTACAACAGGTAGAAGGGCTTTTGTGCCTCCACTAACAGCCCATGGTACCGTTGCCTGTACTTGTTAGACCAGTCAAACGCGCGGATCGTCTCGAGCCCCTGGATGGTCTCCAGCAGCAGCGACAGAAGGGGAGCGCGGGCTTCGAGGTCCAGGATCCGGAGTTGGCGGGAGGTGCGCGTGTAGAATCGCTGCACCACGTAGAAGACGACGAGGCAGGCGGGCAGCGCGGCAGCCGCGTAGTGAACCTGGATGGCGATGACGATCATCTGCGCGATGCACATGAGAAGAGCTTGCGGTGTTCGCCGTTAGGACCGGTGTCTCATTCTCGGGGCAGCGCGTTGCTTCTCGGCGTGACAGTTACTTACTAAGAGAGAACAGCATAAGGAATTCGGGCACCTGAAAGTCAATGAGCTCGAGGTCCTGGCTGAACCTGCGCCATGGTGAGTGATCCAATCAGCCTGAGCTACGCAGTCACACACTTGAAAAGGAAGAAGTTGCGAACCGGTTTAGTGTTTCACCTGCGTCTAAAGACGAGAGAAATGAAAATGGCGCACTGAGGTGGCTCGGTCAGCGAAGCCTCTGAGGGCAAGCTAGTCTCATGATGCGGGGCATTGCGTACTTCAGCACAGTCTGGAGAAGATCTCGATGGAGAGCCACCATGGTTCGGGGGGCCACCAGGCTCCAGAGACACCTTTTATACTATCAGCGCGTTCGTCCTTTCCCAAAACAAAGAGACATATGCATACCATGGAGTCAGGAGAAAGAAGCCAGCGACCAGAGCTCCAAGGAGCCAATAAATCCCAACTCGCATGTTGAGGTTGCGGTTCGGCACACGGTCGTTATCTTCGGCCCACCATTTGACCCAGACAGCTACATTGCACCACCACATCAGCCTGATGTGACGATTGACAGGAGATGAGAACTTACACATAAAGGTATGCAGTGCTACTAGCGCAGCCAGCGAGCCATAAACCAACAGCCACGCGCCCGATGGCGCGGTGGCGAAGTAATATTGATAGATCGAAACGTCCGCCAAATCCCGGTCAGCCGACGCTTTTATCGGCGGTCTTGTCTCACTTTCGGCGGCCTGCACTGGAGAGGCGGCCCCGGAGAGCTCTGCCGCAGCCACTAGAGTTTCGGATGATGCGTTATCATTCGAGATGGCGGGATCGGACGAGACACGCTGCGTCAAGTTTGTCACTGATCCATCCGCACCCACTGTAAGCACCTGATCGGCGAACGCAAGCCAGCGAGCTATCAAATCAAAAAAGAAAGGTTAGTAAGAAGATGAATCAAGCTATAGGCGCTATACTATGCATAAATTAAGAGCTGCTGGGATAGGAAAACTAGAAGCATACGTGAACTGGTGGCCACAATGACGGTCACCCCGGGGGTTCTGAGCAAACCATGGGGTCCCAACACTCGGTGAAAGACGTGCTCTTCTGTGGCCGAATCCAAACCACTCATTACATCGTCGAGGAGCACAAGGTCAGCCTGACAGAAAATGGCTCGCGCCAGAGCCTGTTGAAACAAATTTCATCAGGCGTGGGTTAGTATA